GCAGCACGACGACGACTCGGAGATGGCGAGGAGCGTCGACGACGGCGTGAGCAGCATCAGCAGCAGCGCTGGCCGCCACTCGCCCGTGTCGCAGGCCTCGTCGACCGACACGCTGGGCGGCAGCGGCGGCGCCGGTGACATGACTGCGAGCGCGTCGACGCCTCAGCTGCATCACCAGCACCACCACCATGCGCACTGGGCCGCGCGGCCACCGTCGTTTTCGCGTTCCAACTCGTCGTCGTCGAGTTCTTTCATCACCAGCGGCGGCGGCGGCGGCGGCCCGGCCCGGTTCGGCAGCGTCCACTCGTTTGGGCGACAGCCGAGCAGCGTCTTCCAGCGCGGCTTTTCGACATCGTCGGCCCTCTCGGCCTCGGGGCTGCGTCCGACATTGTCGCGCTCGCACCTCTACGGCGGCGAGGCTGGAGACGGCGACGGCGCGACGGCGGGACGCGACTGGCCGCTCGACGAGGCGCAGCACATGTCGGCGCCCGTCTTTTCGCGGGCGGGCGAGACGCGCCTCGAGTGGATCTCGCACATTGCCGGCAGAAAGGTGTCGAGGATGGCCGAGGTCCAAGTCGACCTCGACCTCGACGGCGACGAGGGCACCGCCGACGTGGGGACCGGGAGCGAGTACAGCGGCGACAAGAACCTCATCCCCATCCAGTGGCGCGGCTGCTCGAGGGGATGCCTCGACTTTTTGATCTAGCCGCGTGGCTCGGTGGATGGAGCGGGGGAAAAGGTCGAGGCGGCTCAGGCATCGTCGGCAGCGGCGGCAGCGGCGCGGCTGCACCAGGGGATGCCTCGACTTTTTGATCTAGCCTCGTGGCCCGTGGCTCGTGGCTCGTCGCCCATCGCTCGTCGCTCACCGCTCGTCGCTTGGTGGAAAGTCGACGGCGGGGACGGCGGACGAGGCGGGACAGCCATCGCCGGGACGACAGGGAACATGGAGTCGACAAGGGGACAAGGGGGGGATTCTATTCGGTCCGATACGATCACGGCACGCGCGCCTCTACATAGCGTAGCATCGCATCGCATCGCGTCGTCGCGCCGCGCCATTGTAGTCGGAGAGGGGGGACCGCTGGTCTACAAGACGACGACGACGTGCGCATTGAGCGACATTGACCGTAACAGCAGCGGTACCGAGACGGCGGCGCGGCGCGGCGAAGCAATCAAGAAAGACGACTGCCACCACCGGCCATTGCTGTCCTCGACGCCGACACGGGAGGGGACGGGGCAGGCACGTCTCGACATTTTGCGTTGACCTGGCATCCGCATCCGCATCCGCGTCCAGTCCGCATCCGCGTCCAGTCCGCATCCGCGTCCAGTCCGCATCTGGCTCGAATCTCGATGATCTTGACAACGACCGACGACCGACGACCAGACGAGGAGCGAGCACAACGCCAGCTGCAAAGTGCCAGCTGCGAGCTGCGAGCTGCGAGGGGATGGAGGGATAACGGTCAGACGAGTTCGAGGTAGCGTTCGAGTTCCCAGTTTGTGACGGCGCGGTTCCAGAGAGCGACCTCGTGGCGGCGGGTGGCGGCAAAGTGGTCGACAAAGTCGTTGCCGAGCGTCTTGCGCGCCCAGCTGTCGCGCGCCTCGAAGCGCGCCGTGGCCGAATCGAGCGAGGTGGGCAGCAGCACGCGGTCCGCCTCTTTGCACTGCGTCATGGGTGCAAACGGCAGCGCGAGACGGTGCTGGATGCCGTAGAGCCCGAGCGAGAAGAGGGCCGAAAAGGCCAAGGGCGCATTGACATCCGCCCCCGGTACCCGCACCTCGAAGCGCGTCGCGTACGAGGGCAGATCCGGTGGTCCCAGGATGCGCACCGAAGCCAGGCGCGAGTCGAACCCGTACGAGCAGATGTTGGGCGCCCAGAAGGCCTGCACGTCGGTCCAGAGCGAGGTGGGCAACAGAGGACGGCAGGGACCGGGACAGGGGCAAAGAGGACCATCGAGAGCGCAAAGGGCGGGCGCATCGGGGACAAACCGAGCAAGGTTCAAACAGGCCGTCAGCCAGATCTCCTCTGTCGACCCTCGTTTGACGGGTACTGCGCCCTCGCACGAACTCACCTCGCCGCCCTGAAGGCGCTTGTACGAGTTGATGGTAGGACAGAGGAGCGGCATGACTGCACGAATAAGGTACCGGCAAGAAAGGCAGGGGATTAGCAGCGCACTCGGGCTCGTTTATCGCGTTCCGCACGCCCGACTCGACTCGTCTCATCATCTCGCCATGCCGCGGCGAGAAACACTCACTATCGGGCAACCCCGTCATGATGCCGGCCAAAAAGTGCTCGCCCTCCTGGGAGAGGTACCGGACGTCGTCGTACTGCGCGTCCTTGCGCCCGCCCGCCTTGATATCGTCGTCCGAGAGGGCAAAGACGTTGCGCCCCGTCTTGGGATCGCGCAGCGAGACGTGCATGTGTCCCGAACAGCCAGAAAGCTAGCGAGGGACGAATCGAGGGGCCAGAACTGAAGGCGGTCAGTCAGCCTGGGCCACCGCTAGCCGGAGCGGACGATCACAGGGCCGCCCAGCACTCGACTCGACGACCGTCGCAACGCACCTGTGCGTACGGCTTGGCCATGAACGTCGGGATGATGCCGTACTTGATGCCGACCGACTTGGCGAGCAGCTTGTACAGCACGGCCGAGTCGGCCATCTTGCACGCCTCGGTGTACGCCAGCGCCGTCTCGTACACGCCCGGGCCCGTCTCGGTGTCTGTGTGCGGGGCGCGGGCGGGCGCCGGAGCGGAGGAGGTCAGCAGGTTGAGAGGAACGAACCGCGCCGGCGACGATGCCAGATCAGGTCACACCCGCTCTTGCTGGCCTCGTCTTCAACGACGCCGGCCCGACTTACGGTGGCCCTCGATCTCGATGCCAAACTCCTCGGCGGCATCGAACAGCTCGAGGAAGTAGTCCTTGTTCATGGTCGTGCGCAGCATCGAGTAGCCGTGGTCTGTCGGCGTGGACAAAGGGGGCAGGAGCGAGGAACCGACGGCGGCGTCAAGGTCGGCCCCATCCGTCGCCCCTTCAATCTTCCGGCCGCGCTCGGTGCTGCCAAGGCTGCCACTCACTGCCGGGCGTCAGCGCAGCGAGCTTGTCGTAGCCCTTTGCAACGAGGCTTTGCGGCGTCTCGGCGTATTGAAAGTACTGCATTCGCAGGGAGGGGCAGGTGCCGGCAAATCGGACAACGCATGCTGTTCCGCGTCAGCCTCCGACGACCCTTTCAGGTCTGCTCCAGTTCCTCATGCCGCTCGCCGACTCACCTCAAACTCTGCGCCCGCCATGCAGTCCCACCCGGTCTCGCCGCGGATCCTGTCGGTGACGCCCTTGAGCAGGTTGCGCGGACAGGCGTGCATGGCGCGCCCCGTCTTTGGATCGTTGAAGCTGACGAGGAAGAAGGGCATGTCGTTCTCCCACGGCAGCCGGCGGTACGTCGAGAGGTCGATGACGGCGGCCAGGTCGTTGTAGCCGCCCGACTTGTTGGCGATCGACACTTCCTCGGTGTACATGGCGTCGTGGATGTCCCAGCCGCTGTTGCGTGGTGGCGCGGGGTGACGAGGCGCGGCAGCAGGGCACGAGCGGGAGAGAGACGGTATGAGAGAGAGGAGCGAGCGAAGAGAAGCGGAAGGATGAGCTGGCGAACGTCGCGGTCGCTGCATCGACGTCGTGGCACGGCGGCCCAGCGGGGCGAGACCATGACTCACAAGATGACGTTGGCGAAGCCAAAGTCGGAGCCCGGCTTGGCGGCCGAGAGGAACTTCTTCTTGGACATGTACTTGCCGCGCAGCACGCCGTCGATGTCGACGCCTGGAGTCGCCGCAGCGTCAGACCACATAGACAGAGAGAGCGCCAGTCAGCCGGTCAGCGTGCCGATCGACCCACGGCGGGGATGACACCGGCCCCTCCGCCGCCGCGCCCCACGTACCTGCCACCTTGACCTTGTTATCGTCCTTGAGCAGCTCGGCCAGCTCGTCGTAGCTCGTCGGCTTCGTTGTTGGCGGCGTCATGGTGGCGAATTGTGCGGTCAAGGATCGCGGATCGAGGCTGGGGTGAAGGAGAGTGGGACAGAGCGGTTCACGAGACACGCGGCGGCGAGAAAACGAGCGGATGGAGCAAGAGCGGGAGCAGGGGCGTCGAGATGGTGAGGGCGAGGCGAGGAAGTGTGCCTACCACCGCCAGCTGGATAAGGCTGCGCTTGCCAGGGTCAAAGCCACGGCACGGGCCCACTCTGGCCCCCCGTCTCGCCCCCACTTCCAAGACAGCCGCCAGCGACGGTCGGGCCATGTGATCTGCCCAACGAAGGGTGGAGGCGCGACCAACGAGCCTCGAGTTGGCCCGCGGCCCCCAAAAGGCACACCAGACCACCCTAAGCCCTAGATTCAGGCCCCCACAACTGCTCAGGGCATGCGGTAGCCAGACTTGCCCTTATTTTACCCACCATTGTCAGCCATTTATTATGCAAGCTCATTTCACATCACAAAGTCAATCTGCAAAACATAGGGCCAAAGAACACAAACTGCTTGTACCACCTTCAGATACGCTTTTGCATGGCAGACACGGCTTTCCCTATCCACCACCATTCTTCATCTATTTGCACTCCTAAGACCACCTTCACACTGCAGAAGCTACAATGCTGTACTGCTGGATGTTGATGGCTGATTCCTGGCACCCCTTGTAACCCTAACCCTAGCCCTACCCTAACCCTTACCCAAGCATAGCACAACCCATTGCTTTGCTTTAGGGTTTCACCCATTGCTTTGCTTTAGGGTTTCACCCATTGCTTTGCTTTAGGGTTTCACCTTT